CTCTCTTGAGCCTTTGCATCACTCTCTTGAGCCTCTGCATCCTTCTCCTAAGCCTGTGCAACACTCTTTTCAGCCTCTGCATCACTCTCTTAAGCCTCTGCATCCCTCTCTTAAGCCTCTGCATCCCTCTCTTAAGCCTCTGCAACACTCTCTTCAGCCTCTGCATCACTCTCTTGAGCCTCTGCATCCCTTTTTTGAGCCCCTGCATCACTTTGGTAAGCCACTGCATCCCTTTCTTGAGCCTTTGCATCACTCTCTTGAACTCCTGCATACCTCTCATGAGCCTCTGCATCCCTCTCCTGAGCCTTTGCATCACTCTCTTAGGCCTCTGCATCTCTCTCTTGAGCCTCTGCGTCACTCTCAAGAGCCTCTGCATCCCTCTCTTGTGCTTCTGCATCCCTCACTTGAGCCTCTGCATCCCTCTCTTAAGCCCCTGAATCCCTCTCTTGAGCTTCTGCATCCCTCGCTTGAGCCTCTGCATCCCTCTCTTAAGCCTCTGCATCACTCTATTAAGCCTCTGCACCACTCTCGTAAGCGTCTGAATCACTCTCTCGAGCCTCTGCATCCCTCTCTTGAACTCCTGAATGCCTCTCATAAGCCTCTGCATCCCTCTCTTGAGCCTTTGCATCACTCTCTTAAGCCTACTGCATCCCTCTCTTGAGCCTCTGCATCACTCTCAAGAGCCTCTGCATCCCTCTCTAGTGCCTCTGCATCCCTCACTTCAGCCTCTGCATCCCTCTCCTGAGCCTCTGCATCCCTCTCTTAAGCCTCTGCATCAATCTCTTAAGCCTCTGTATCACTCTCCTGAGCCTCTGCATCACTCTCTTGAGCCCCTGCATCCCTCTCTCAAGCCTCTCCATCACTCTCTTGAGCCTCTGCATCACCCTCTTAAGCCTCTGCATTACTCTCTTCAGCCTCTGCATCGCTCTCCTAAGCCTCTGCCTCACTCTCTTAAGCCTCTGCATCCCTCTCTCAAGCCTCTCCATCACTCTCTTGAGCCTCTGCATCACCCTCATAAGCATCTGCATTACTCTCTTGAGCCTCTGCATCCCTCTCCTAAGCCTCTGCAGCACTCCCTTCAGCCTCTGCATCACTCTTTTAAGCCTCTGAATCCCTCTCTTGAGGCCTCTGCATAACTCTCTCGAGCCTCTGCATCACTCACTTGATTCTCTGCATCACTCTCGTAAGCCTCTGAATCACTCTCTTGAGCCTCTGCATCCTTCTCTTAAGCCTCTGCATCCCTCTGTTTAGCCTCTGCATCACTCTCTTAAGCCTCTGCATCACTCTCTAGAGCCTCTGCATCACTCTCTTCAGCCTCTGCATCACTCTCTTAAGCCTCTGCTTCTCTCCCTTGATCCTCTGCATCACTCTCTTGGGCTTCTGCATCACTCTCTTGATAGTCTGCATCACTCTCTGTATCCTCTGCATCACTCTCTTGAGCCTCTCTATCACTCTCTTGAGGCTCTGCATCACTCTCTTGAGCCTCTGCATCACTCTCTTAAGCCTCTGCATTCCTCTCTTGATTCCCTGCATCACTCCCTTGAGCCTCTGCATCATACTCCTGAGCCTCTGCATCCCTCTCCTAAGCCTCTATATCATTCTCTTGAGCCTCTGCTTCACTCTCGTGAGCCTATGCATCACTCTCTTAAGCCTCTGCCTTTCTCTCTTGAGCCTCTGCATCACTCTCTTGATCCTCTGCATCCCTCTCTGGAGCCTCAGCATCAGTCTCTCTTGAGCCTTTTCCAGCACTCTCTTGAGTCTCTGCATCATTCTCTTGAGCCTCTGCATCCCTCTATTAATCCTCTGCATCAGTCTCTTGTGCCTCTGCATCCCTCTCTTGTGCCTCTGCATCACTCTCTTGTGTCTCTGCATCACTCTCTTGAGCCTCTGCATCACTCTCTTGAGCCTCTGCATCACTCTCTTAAACCTCTGCATCCCACTCTTAATCCTCTGCATCACTCTCTTGAGCCTCTGCATCATTCTCTTGAGCCTCTACATCCTTCTTCTAAGCCTCTACATCATTCTCCTGAGCCTCTGCATCACTCTCTTGAGCCTCTGCATCACTCTCTTGAGCCTCTGCATCACTCTCTTAAGCCTCTGCATCTCTCTCTTCAGCCTCTGCATCACTCTCTTGATTCTCTGCATCACTCTCTTGAGCCTCTGCATCATTCTCTTGAGCCTCTGCATCCCTCTCTTAAGCCTCTACATCATTCTCTTGAGCCTCTGCATCCCTCTCTTGAGCCTCTGCATCACTCTCTTGAGTCTCTGCATCACTCTCTTGAGCCTCTCCATCACTCTCTTGAGCCTCTGCATCACTCTCTTAAACCTCTGCATCCCTCTCTTGATCCTCTGCATCACTCTCTTGAGCCTCTGCATCATTCTCTTGAGCCTCTACATCCTTCTCCTAAGCCTCTACATCATTCTCTTGAGGCCCCTGCATCACTCTCTTGAGCCAATGCATCACTCTCTTGAGCCTCTGCATCACTCTCTTAAGCATCTGCATCTCCCTCTTCAGCCTCTGCATTACACTCTTGAGCCTCTGCATCCCTCTCCTAAGCCTCTGCCTCACTTTCTTAAGCCTCTGCATCACTCTATTAATCCTCTGCATCACTCTCTTGAACCTCTGCATCACTCTCGTAAGCCTCTGAATCACTCTCTTGAGCCTTTGCATCCCTCTCTTAATCCTCTGCAACCCTCTCTTAAGCCTCTGCCTCACTCTCTTAAGCCTCTGCATCACTCTCTTCAGCCTTTGCATCACTCTATTAAGCCTCTGCTTCCCTCTCTTGATCCTCTGCATCACTCTATTTAGCCTCTGCATCACTCTCTTCAGCCTCTGCAGCACTTTCTTAAGCCTTTGCTTCCCTCTCTTGATCCTCTGCATCACTCTCGTGAACCTCTGCATCACTCTCTTGGTCGTCTGCATCACTCTCTTGAGCCTCTGCATCACTCTCTTGAGCCTCTCTATCACTCTCTTGAGGTTCTGCATCACTCTCTTGAGGCTCTGCATCACTCTCTTAAGCCTCTGCATCCCTCTCTTTATTCTCTGCATCACTCTGTTGAGCCTCTGCATCAAACTCTTAAGCTTCTGCATCCCTCGCCTAAGCCTCTACATCATTCTCTTGAGCCCCTGCATCACTCACTTGATCCTCTGCATCACTCTCTTGAGCCTCTGCTTCACTCTCTTGAGCCTTTGCATCACTCTCTTAAGCCTCTGCCTTTCTCTCTTGATCCTCTGCATCACTCTCTTGATCCTCTGCATCTTTCTCTGGAGCCTCAGCATCCCTCTCTTGAGCCTTTTACAGCACTCTCCTGAGTCTCTGCATAATTCTCTTGAGCCTTTGCATCCCTCTCTTAAGCCCCTGCATCACTCTCTTGAGCCTCTGCATCCCTCTATTAATCCTCTGCATCACTCTCTTGAGCCTCTGCATCCCTCTCTTGAGCCTCTGCATCACTCTCTTGAGTCTCTGCATCACTCTCTTGAGCCTCTGCATCACTCTCTCTAGCCTCTGCATCACTCTCTTGAGCCTCTGCATCACTCTCTTAAACCTCTGCATCCCTCTCTTAAGCCTCTACATCATTCTCTTGAGCCTCTGCATCACTCTCTTGAGCCTCTGCATCATTCTCTTGAGCCTCTACATCCTTCTCCTAAGCCTTTACATCATTCTCTTGAGCCCCTGCATCACTCTCTAGAGTCCCTGCATCACTCTCTTGAATCCCTGCATCACTCTCTTGAGCCCCTGCATCACTCACTTGATCCTCTGCATCACTCTCTTGAGCCGCTGCATCATTCTCTTGAGCCTCTGCATCCCTCTCTTAAGCTTCTACATCATTCTCTTGAGCCTCTGCAACCCTCTCTTGAGCCTTTGCATCACTCTCTTAAGCCTCTGCATCCCTCTCTTGAGCCTCTGCATCCCTCTCTTGAGCCTCTGCGTCACTCTCCTGAGCCCCTACATCCATCTCTTGAGCCTTTGCATCACTCTCTTAAGCCTCTGTATCCCTCTCTTAAGCCTCTGCATCACTCTCAAGTGCCTCTGCATCTTTCTCTTGTGCCTCTGCATCACTCACTTTAGCCTCTGCATCCCATTCTTGAGCCTCTGCATCCCTGTCTTGAGCCTATTCATCCCTCTCTTGAGCCTCTGCATCCCTCTCTTGAGACTCTGCACTACTCTCTTAAGCTTCTGCATCACTCGCGTAAGCCTCTGCATCACTCTCTTAAGCCTCTGTTCACTCTCGTAATACTCTGAATTACTCTCGTGAGCCTCTCTATCACTCTCTTGAGCCCCTGCATCCCTCTATTGAGCCTCTGCATCACTTTCGTAGCCCTTTGCATCCGTTTCTTGAGCCTCTGCATCTCTCTCTTTAACTACTGCATCCCTCTTATGAGCCTTTGCATCCCTTTCTTGAGAATTTGCATCACTCGCTTAAGCCTCTGCATCCCTCTCTTGGGCCTCTGCATCACTCTCAAGAGCTTATGCATCCCTATTTTGGGCCTCTGCATCCCTCACTTGAGCCTCTGAATCCCTCTCTTGAGGACTCTGCACAACTCTCTCGAGCCTCAGCATCACTCACTTGATTTTCTGCATCACTCTCGTAAGCCTCTGAATCACTCTCTTGAGCCTCTGCATCCTTCTCTTAAGCCTCTGCATCCCTCTCTTAAGCCTCTGCATCACTCTCTAGAGCCTTTGCATCACTCTCTTCAGCCTCTGCATCACTCTCTTAAGCCTCTGCTTCTCTCCCTTGATCCTCTGCATCTTTCTCTGGAGCCTCAGCATCCCTCTCTTCAGCCTTTTGCAGCACTCTCTTGAGTCTCTGCATAATTCTCTTGAGCCTTTGCATCCCTCTCTTAAGCCTCTGCATCACTCTCTTGAGCCTCTGCATCCCTCTATTAATTATCTGCATCACTCTCTTGAGCCTCTGCATCCCTCTCTTGAGCCTCTGCGTCACTCTCCTGAGCCCCTGCATCCATCTCTTGAGCCTTTGCATCATGCATAACCTTTAGTTCCTTCAAATATTTAATGTAAGTGTTAACAGTAACAGTAACCAAGATGATGTTTCATCTCCACAGTGAGTGATGGCTGGCACCAAGACCTGCCTGATGCTGGTGGTGCTGGTGCTCTCTCTCTGCTGGACGCCCTCGCTCCTTGAAGCGCGTGAGTATATGTGTGCAATATTTCACGGCATTTTAAGTCCTGTGCTAGCGTGCATTTTTTTTTTTTTTTTGTCTTTCAGTCATATTAAATGATCCAGTAAGTGTGTCTCTGCTTGCGTGAGCACATGCTCAAGCAAGCTCAGTGTGTTTTTATTATAGTTAATCAACCCCCCCCCCCTTCTATTAAGTTAACAATGGAAATTTAACAAAACAATTCTTTAGCATTTTTACATGTTTCAGTGTATAAATTTTATTATAACTTTATGTTTTTTCTAAATAGGAAAACAGCACATTTTCGTTCTTAAGTACACTATTACTCATCCCATCATGATAGAGTAAAACGAGCTGCATTTTCTTCAATGTTTTTGCGAGCTGTAAAGGATAAGTTGTTCTGAATATGTAGATCAAGAAAGTAGTGCCACATATCGTATAGGCTTTATTACAAAACTCCCTTAAATAAAATTGGTTCACTTCACCATTCAACTGACTGGGCTAATTCATGTACTGAATGTACATCTGTTATTTCAATAAATTTCTTTAAATCGTTGAATAAAAATTAAAAATTTAATTAAATAATATAAATTTAATTCCAGAAATGTATATATTAGACAGCTTCATATTGATCAGAATTGCTATATGTATAAAATTATGGAAATATGAACATAAGAATAGATGAAACTGCAGAAAATCTGTTATATTATATATATATATATATATATATATATATATATATATATATATATATATATATATATATATATATATATATATATATATATATATATATATATATATATATATATATATATATATGAATTTCTTCACGAACAGGAAGCTTGGCCTCATTCAGGAACGTGTACAGGGCCAGAGGAGGACATAACGCCAACAGACCCCTCACGGTAATGTAGACAGCATACGTTGTCATGTATTTGTTCTTATATGTCACATATAAACATAAATACACATCAGGAAACATGTGAGAACATTAGATCCACAAGGAAGCGAGGATACTTATGGGTGATGCTAGCAGGAACCCAACTGTCCTCTTAAAAATAACGTCACTTTTGGCTGGTATTGTTAAAAAAAAAATCCCAAATTTATCTACTGTTTTTTTTTCATTTTCAAATTACGTCCATATTCGTCCATACGGGCAAACGGCCAAAAGCGACGTTCTTTTTAAGAGGACAAATTGCAATGAGTGTTCTCACCGACTGTTTATGCTGTATAAGTGATCTCACCGACTGTTTATGTTGTATGGGTGTTCTCAACCAACTGTTTATGCTGTATGGGTGTTCTCACCGACTGTTTATGCTGTATGGGTGTTCTCACCGACTGTTTATGCTGTATGGGTGTTCTCACCGACTGTTTATGCTGTATGGGTGTTCTCACCGACTGTTTATGCTGTATGGGTGTTCTCACCGACTGTTTATGCTGTATGGGTGTTCTCATCAACTGTTTATGCTGTATGGGTGTTCTCACCGACTGTTTATGCTGTATGGGTGTTCTCACCTACTTTTTATGCTGTATGGGTGTTCTCATCAACTTTTTATGTTGTATGGGTGTTCTCACCGACTGTTTATGCTGTATGGGTGTTCTCATCACTTTTTATGCTGTATGGGTGTTCTCACCGATTCTGTTTTCACCGACTGTTTATGCTGTATGGGTGTTCTCATCAACTTTTTATGCTGTATGGGTGTTCTCACCGACTGTTTATGCTGTATGGGTGTTCTCACCAACTTTTTATGCTGTATGGGTGTTCTCACCCAACTGTTTATGCTGTATGGGTGTTCTCACCGACTTTTTATGCTGGATGGGTGTTCTCACCCAACTGTTTATGCTGTATGGGTGTTCTCACCCAACTGTTTATGCTGTATGGGTGTTCTCACCGAGTATTTATACTGTACTGTTATTATCACCCAACTATTTTGGGAGTAAATAAACGGCAACCAACAGACAGGCCAGATAAACAAGGACGAGGAGTAGGTAAAATAATTGCTGAACTGAAACCATTTTTTTTTTTTTTTTTTTAGTTTTTTATGAATTTACTTTCTAGAGTGACGAAATAAGACTTCCTTTACCCATTTTGCAGGGAGCGTTGATAGCTGGGAACAGAAATAGCCCTTCACCGCGTGTGAGTTTTGGTCCCCAATTCTGGCGAGGCAGATGAAGCCTTGATCAACACTGTCGTCGATGTTAACACTCAGGAAGAGATTCAGCTCCAGATGTGAATTAACTTAGAGAAAGTTTTCTGTTAAGTTTATGTACAATTGCTAACGAACGTTTCCATACTATATCAGGAATAAATTCGCCATATGTACTTGAAATAAATTAAATTATAAGGATTTTTCTGTATAATGTTTGTACCTCTCTACACTTTATCCAGCAAACAATTAGTTTTTTTTATCATTAATGTAAGCTGAAGTTCGCATGATCAACTGTGTTATTACTAAAGGTTGAGAATGTTCCGCTTATGCTCAAGACTGACCACCCCTGCAGCTGTGGTCTTTAACTGAAACGAGAAGGTTGATTTGCATCACAAAATGTGCGTTTAATACAAGACTTCATATGATTTTGGCATCATCGGCAAACATTGAGAGCAATACGTCTATATCCTTTGGAAGATCGTTTACATATATCAGAAACAAGATGGGTTCAAGTACAGAGCCCTGTGGGACTCCGCTGGTGACATCTTGACACTCTGAGGTCTTCCCCACTCACAGTAACTCTGTGTTTTTGTTGCTACGATACTCCCTTATCCACTGGAGCTCCTTACCTGTTATTCAAGTCTGTTTTTTTCCAACTTCTGTACCAGCCTCATATGGGTATTGTGTCAAAGGCTTTCTGGCAGCCTAAGAAAATGCAGTTTGCCCACATCTTTCTTTCTGGTCATATTTTTATCATAAAATTTTCTTAAACCTGTGAGGCATGATAATCCCTGAACCTATGCTGGTGGTGTGTTACAAAGTTCCTCTCTAGATGTTCTACGAGCTTTTTCCTCACGATCTTTCCTTTCACAATCTTTCAAATCTTTCCTACTTAACAGAACAACAACAATCTGGCCAGTTAGAACCCGGGGTGGGGAATATATAAGGGTTTTGCCCCGTGAAGATTCCCCAACAGGATGTACACATATAACAGTTGCCAGTCTCTTAAAATGAATATATAAGAACAGATCGGGAGACCCTATGCACTTGCCCACGTAACGCTGGTGAGTGCGTATACGCTCACGCAAGTAACGCGGTTGAGTGCATATACGCTCACGCAAACACTAAAGACTGCAGACGAACCAGAAAACTACTGCTTTAAACTCCAAAGAGGTAAAAATAATAATTTTATGCAAATTTACTACATATTCTTTTTGCAAATATTAAGCATAACTCTATTATATAATTTTGGTCTAATTTTGCCTTTGTCTTCATACCAAGATTTTCAATTTTGTAATTATTTTTAAGTTCTTCATAAGAATGTGACGGCCTATGGGGGGGGGGGGGGAGATCCCTGACGTCACTATATTCTGGTGGCATGTGTGGAGTGATCTCTCTGACGTCTATGTTGTAGAGACGTGTAAAATATATATTTATATATAAAATTGCACATTGGAGTCGATTTACAAGTTTGGATTTAGCTTACTTTTGTATCAAAATATCAAATTCTTGTTGAAACCTGGTTCGTTCTTATGAACCTTCTGTATTGATTAACGGTATATAAGATTACACTATAACTGTTTTTTTAGAAATTATAAAATCGAAATAAACCACTGTAGGGTTAAAACAACAGAATGAATTTTTCGGTTGTATTTTACGACTAAAATATATATATACGTCCAACGAAAAAAAATTGCATTTGCAAGTATGTTCTTTACACTGTAAACACATGACCTGATATTGATGTGTCTGAAATTCAGAACTAGCCATATTATTTTTAATATTATATAACGGCGAATCAAAAACCTGTGTGTGTATATATATGTAATATATATATATACATATATACTGTATATATATATATATATATATATATATATATATATATATATATATATATATATATATATATATATATATATATATATATATATATATATATATATAACTTTCAGGCTTGTTCGCATATATATATTATTATATTTTGGTAGCAGTCTTTCCTGTAGACATATATTATTAAATATGACCGAAAAAGTAAGATTAATAATTCTAACACGAATTTTCTCAATCTTTCGTACATTTCTTTTCACTGTTGGTGGTAATTCAAAAATCAATTCTCCAAAATTCATTTTTATTTCTAGTCTGACGCGACACTTGAGCGCATTTCGTAAAACTTATTACATTTTTAAAGACTTTAGCTACACATACACAACTGAATAGAACTTACACATCTCCGATTTGTTTATATCTACATTTGAGTGAGGTGGATGGGGTGAGATGGTATTTAATAGGGTATTAATTTCATCAACACAAGACAGAACACGAAACAATGGGTATTGAATAGAAGTGATTGTAGAACGCCTATTGGTCCATATATCTTGATGCTTCTATATATATATATATATATATATATATATATATATATATATATATATATATATATATATATATATATATATATATATATATATATATATATATATATATATATATATATATAATATATATATATATATATATATATATATATATATATATATATATATATATATATATATATATATATATATATATATATATATATATATATATATGTGTGTGTGTGTGTGTGTGTGTGTGTGTGTGTGTGTGTGTGTGTGTGTGTGTGTGTGTGTGTGTGTGTGTGTGTGTGTGTGTGTGTGTGTGTGTGTGTGTTTGCATGGCAGTAAGAGGTCACAAGCAGGTTGACCAGCGAACTCAACGTCTGGTTCCTGGACGATGGCACCCTGGCAGGGACACAGGAGTCCTTGCTAGAAGATCTACAGCTGGTAAAATCTAAGAGAGAGGAGTTAGGACTTACCCTAAACCCATCAAAGTGTGAAATCATCTCATCTAGCCAACCAACCATAGATGCAGTACGAATCATATTGGCATGAGCCCCAGTGATCGTGCCCACCGACAGTGTGCTGCTAGGGGCACCTCTGGACTCGAGCGCCATTGAGGTAATCCTCGAGGAAAAGCTGAACGACCTGAGGAGGATGGAGGGAAGAATAGGGGCTTTGGACGCCCACGATGCTTTGTACCTTCTCACAAGGTGCCTGGCTTTGCCCAGACTGACCTATTTCAAGAGTGGTTGACAAATGGAATGCAATAGGAAGTGATGTGGTGGAGGCTGACTCCATACACAGTGTCAATTGTAGATATGATAGAACCCAATAGGCTCAGGAACCTGTACACTTGTTGATTGACGGTTGAGAGGCGGGACCAAAGAGCCAGAGCTCAACCCCCCTGCAAGCACAACTAGGTGAGTCACACACACACACACACACACACACACTTATCAGAAAGGAAACACCTGCTGGGATACCCCTCGCGAAGGCACTAGAGCTATGTACTCACAACTAGGTGAGTACACAGCTGCAGTGCCTCCGCGAGGAGAATCCCAGCAGGTGTTTCCCTTCTGATAACGTCAACCGTCTTTTAAACCACAGAACCTGAAGGCAGTCAGCGTGGTGACGCAGTTGAACGCAGTCAGTTACGCCGAGTGAACAAACGTGAACAAGGTGACTATCATTTGTCTGGTGCATGAACCTCGCCAGATCTAGGCAGAGACCCTCCCTATCACTCCTAGCAGTATTTGCCTTGACATAAATGTGATAAAAACCCCACACACGCATACACACACACACACACACACGCGCGCGCGCGCGCGCACTCTGTATATTGTTTGGTTTTAGACAACTTGGTTCCCGGCAAGGACAAGTTGTCCACTCACAGTTTACCTGTGGTCGATTTCGAGTGTGCTCCAATTTTGGGCAGCCTCCGTCGCTTCCTTTGTGATTGCGTGATTGGTGAGGATGATTATCTTAGCATCCCGCAGGACCAAATAGCTATCACATCCTGGCTGATCTAGTAAATTTAAAATAAAGATATTAAAGTCCCTCCTAATAAAAGCTTCCGTCTTTGTTACAGAAATATTTCTTGCGTTTGCTGGCTGGAGACGGGAGAGTCGAGGACCTCCTCACCAATCACACACTGTTCTCTAACAGCGCTCAATATGGCACCCAGACATCTTACTGGATTTATTTTATTATATCTTTATTATCACCCAATCCACCACGTTATGATTTTATTGTGCAGAGTAGGAGGCTGACCTGCAAATATTTAGGTGCAAATTACGAAACAAATCGTCTCGGTTCCAAAGAATACAGTGTGACAATGATCGCATCACTTCACGCACTTTATTAATCCCATGCGAGCCCGTCTTCAAGTGTGGGTGTGAGGAACCTGAAATATTAACTACAAGATACAAGCAGTTCTCTGAAAAGTACCATCGTTTGAGTGGCAGCCTTTGTTCTGTGTCTCGGTATCCACTTTCCTGCCTCGTATTTATTGTGCTCCCTCGACGTTAGGTCGGTGCTCATTATCATGCAAAGGCTTTGATTGGATCGGTTGGTTCTTTGAAGCTATTTGACTGCGCCCGGAGATCTAACCGGAAATATACATATATAGAAACTTCCCTGCTACCGTTGGCGGTAAGTGCGCTAGGCGTCGTAGCAATTCGGACCGTTGGAAGGGAATGTCTGACGGCCATAACGCAATGCGTAATATCGCGTTATGAGTTCCGGTAGTCCCCAGGAGGAGTAGGTTCCCAGTCGTCCGCTCGTCGTCATGGATGGACCAGGAGTCCCCTTACCAGTAGGCGTAACTTCACACGGAAGTTCACAGAGCACGTGTGACGAAGTCATCTAGTTACTGGTGAGATGCCACACACACCACTCACCAGTAAGTGAGTGGTGTTTGTTGTTGTTGTTAAAGATTCGCTACCTGGAACAAAAAGTTCCAAGTAGCACGGGCTATGGTGAGCCCGTCTGAGTGGTGTGTGTGTGTGTGAGTACTCACCTAGTTGTACTCGCCTAGTTGTACACACCTAGTTGTACTCACCTAGTTGGGCTTACGGGGGAGGGGGTGAGCTTTTGCTCTTTGGTCTCGCCTCTCAATCGTCAATCAACTGATGTACAGATTCCTGAGACTACTGGGCTCTATTATATCACCACATCACTTCTAAGTGCATTCCATTTACTATCTACTCTGACACTGAATAAGTTCTTTCTAATGTCTCTGTGGTTTATTTGGGTACTCAGTTTCCGTCTGTGTCCCCTTATTCGCGTACTACCCGTGTTAAATAATCAAGCCTTGCCTACCCTGTCAATTCCCTTGAAAATTTTGTATGTGGTGATCATGTCTCCAAGGCTCTTCTGCCCTTTCCTCGTAACTCATGCCTCTTAGTTCTGGGACTAGCCTAGTGGCATACCACTAAACTTTTTCCAGCTTCGTCTTGTGCTTGACAAAGTACGGGCTCCATACTGAGACCACATACTTTAGGATTGGTCTTACATATGTGGTTTACTAGGTTCTGAAAGATTCCTTACACAGGTTTCTGAACGCAGTTCTGATGTTAGCAAGCCTCGCATTCGCCGCCGATGTTATTCTTTTGATGGAGGCTTTAGACGACAGGTTTGGCGTGATATCAACTCCTAGATCTTTCTCTCTGTCCGTTTCGTGAAGGACTTTCGCTCCTATTCGGTATCCAGTGTCTGGCCTCTGATTTCCTCCACCCAGTTTCATCACCTTACATTTACTTGGGTTGAACTTTAGTAACCATTTGTTGGATCATTCCTTCAGTTTCTCTAGGTCATCTTGTAGCCTTATACTATCTTCTTCTGGTTTAATCATCCTCATAATTTTTGCATCATCAGCAAACATTGAGAGGAACTAGTCTAATCATTCTTGGAGATCATTTACATGTATCAGAAACAGTATAGGTCTAAGGACTGAACCCTGTGGGACTCCACGGGTGACGCCTCGTCACTCCGAGACCTCACCCTCACAGTGACTCGCTGTCTTCTGTTGCCTAGGTTCTCCCTTATCCAGTGGAGTACCTTCCCTTTCACGTCCAACCACTTTGGGTGGACAGTAGAGCGACGGTCTTGCTTCATGCAGGCCAGGGTTCAATCCCCGACCGTCCAAGTGGTTGGACACCATTCCTTACCCCGTCCCATCCCAAATTCTTATCCTGACCCCTTCCCAGTGCTATATGGTCATAATGGCTTGGCGCTTTCCCCTGATAATTCTCTCTCTCTCTCCCGCCTGCATCTCCAGCTTGTGCACTAGTCTCTTATGAGGTACTGTGTCAAAGGCTCTCTTGCAATCCAAAAATATGCAGTCTGATCAGCCCTCTCTATCGTGCCTGATTTGTTTTGCCTGGTCATAGAATTCAATTAATCCTGTGAGGCATGATTTGCCACTTTCCTGTAGTACTGTGCCTCCTGACTATCACCCTTCATTTATAATCGGACTACATTGGCCGTCTTCCACATTTTTGGCAGTTCACCTGTTACTAATGATTTGTTGTACACCATTAATAGTGGCAGGTACAGAGCTTCTACTCCTTTCTTTAGTATCCATGGTGAGATTCCATCCGGCGCCACAGGTCCTATGAGGTTGACGTGATTTTGTTTTGCATCATAGGTGTTATAAGGTTGAGGTGCTCACATCTCACAATTGAGGGATCACAGACTACATAATGAACGTCTCATTCCTTAGTCGGGGAATACTTGAACAGACCAAGAGCTGGGACATGATGACGAAGTACCAACACCGGATGAACGGTACCAACCCTCTTGCACCATTGGGGAATCGAACACCGATCTTACAACAATCGAGGCAATGACTCTACTGACCATGGTGGCATCTGTGATAAATTAATGAATTTCACCTGATTATTACTCACACTACATAAGATCATTTTCTTAAATATCTCTGATTCTTTTATATTACCTGACTCATATAAATGATTCCACAGGTGAAGGATGATGACTGGCTGGGTGACCTTCCTGGCGTGGGTGGTTGTGTTGCTGCTCTGTGGCGCTCCCTCACCGGCTCTGTCTGGTAGCTACCCTAATGCATCTGTCCTCTTATATGTTGCCGTAATATAGCAACAAAAGTTATAACCATACGATATGCATCTGTTTTCAAATCTTACAAAAATTGCTATTGTAATATTGGTAAATGTAGATTTATATTAGCTTTCACCGTAACCTTTCTATAACACCGATGTTAACACTGATGTCTCCTGCTCCCAGACGAGCCGCAGGAGATACAGGTGATCGTACGTGTCATCTCTCTCTCTCTCTCTCTTCCTTACAGAGAAGGTAGGGCGGCCGGGTGTTCCTGGAGGCGGCGCCAGGCTGGCCAGACACGCCCAGATCAGTGGTGCACGCCGTCGTTCTGATGATCCTCATCTTTTGTATAAAAATAGTATTAGTTGTATTAGAGGTGGAGATGATGCCTGCGAACCGAGCGCGGTAATATTGCAGTGTCTTTCTTGTAGACATATATTATTGACTATGATACAAAGGGGGGGGGGGTTAGCCCAATGTTTCTAGCACGAATCTTTTCTATGCTTTTAATGTTCTTCACTAGAGAAGGAAGTTCAAAAATAAACTCTCCAAAGTTCCTTTTACAATCTTATACTGTTTGCCGCTATACAGGAGAGTGAATGATGGACTGTAATGGAAAACACAAATGATGCTAGGTTAAAAATTTATTGCAATATCGCCTATGAAATTGATATTATTATTGTTATCATCTCCATGCACTGTTAGTATGTTTAAGGATTTGATCTTTTCATGTGTGTTTATTTTCTTTCCAGGGAGCGGCATTTACTTTGAAGTTAGACAATGAGCCTGTTCGGATACCTCCAATCAGGTTTGGGCCCAGTACTCCATCCAGGCCAAGGTTTCCGTTGTGGCACTGGGACTAACTTCACGTCATCTGGCTGAGGCGTCACCTGGCTGATGGCGTCACCTGGCTGATGGCGTCACCTGGCTGATGGCGTCACCTGGCTGATGGCGTCACCTGGCTGAGGGCATCACCTGGCTGATGGCGTCACCTGGCTGAGGGCATCACCTGGCTAATGACATATACTCAACACTTGCGGAGTTCAGAACAAGCAAAACTCCTCCAACATTGCATTTTCTATATATATAAATAAAACATAATAAAACGATACATTTCCCGTTTCTTTATTTGTGGTGAAGGTGGACCTGCCGGAGGGCGCCGCTGTTAGGCCAGTGTACTGTTGTTAGGCCAGAGTACTGTTGATAGGCCAGAGTACTGTTGATAGCCCAGAGTACTGTTGTTAGGCCAGAGTACTGTTGATAGGCCAGAGTACTGTTGATAGGCCAGAGTACTGTTGTTAGGCCAGAGTACTGTTGATAGCCCAGAGTACTAGGCCAGAGTTGTTGATAGGCCAGAGTACTGTTAGGCCAGAGTAGGCAGAGTACTGTTGATAGCCCAGAGTACTGTTGTTAGGCCAGAGTACTGTTGTTAGGCCAGAGTACTGTTGATAGGCAAGAGTACTGTTGTTAGGCCAGAGTACTGTTGTTAGGCCAGAGTACTGTATCTAGTACACAAGGCAACTATGAATTGTCCCCACCGTCTCATAAGCGTCAAATTTTAAGTGGTTTTGTCGAACCAAAAGCTATAGACGACAGGGTCAAACGTCCACCACGGAGGATCAATATTATGGAACTTATACTTTCATAAAGCACTTGGAATATGACGCTGTGATCTATAGCGTATATATTGACGTGCGTTAAGTGTGAGGACAGGAGTCTTTATCACACGTGTCAGTATAGTGATGATGTTCATTAAGAACCTTGTGGTGTTTAGTGATGACCTGGTGGTGTTCAGTGACCTGGTGGTGTTCAGTGTGTTCAGTGACCTGGTGGTGTTCAGTGACCTGGTGGTGTTCAGTGTGTTCAGTGACCTGGTGGTGTTCAGTGATGACCTGGTGGTGTTCAGTGTGTTCAGTGACCTGGAGGTGAAAAACATCTTTTTTTTTTTTAGTTACACTCAAAATCTTCTTGGGACATATAGACCCCTTAAAACATTACATCCAGTACAAGGTGATGGGAAATTCCCTGAGAAACAAGATTGTAGAAAATCCGGAGAGACGAACACTAGCTAAGGTTTAACAACAACTAATATTGCCTCACAAACTTTATATAATTCTATGACTGAGAGACAGAGATCAGATGAGACAAAATTCAGATCTAGACAAATGATCTCCCAGAAGGAATGTACTACTTTCTCTCGATGTTTGCTGATGATGCAACAATTGTAAAGAGGAAACATATAGTGGAGAAGTATAATAAGCTACAAGATGATCTGGAAAAAATTGAAAAACGCGGTCCCCAAAAAGTGTAGCTACTAGACTTTAACTCAGGCAAGTGCAAATTAATGTTGAGGCAACATGAATCCAGACGCAAAGTATCAAGAATCGAACATAGAAAAGTCCTGAAGAGTTGATATAACATCGAACCTGTCACTCGAGGACCACATCGAACCTGTCACTCGAGGACCACATCAAACCTGTCACTCGAGGCCCACATCAAACCTGTCACTCGAGGCCCACATCAAACCTGTCACTCGAGGCCCACATCAAACCTGTCACTCGAGGCCCACATCAAACCTGTCACTCGAGGCC